AGTAGTAGCAGTAGTATCAGCAGCAGCAGCAGCAGTAGTAGTAGTAGTAGTAGTAGTAGTGGTAGTAGTAGTAGTAGTAGTAGTAGTAGTAGTGGTAGTAGTAGTAGTAGTAGTAGTATCACTGTTAGGACTACATTAACGTAGCAGTTACCATAGTTGCTCCTATTCTCACTCTTCTTATTATTATTATTGCCAGAGGTTTTTTGATTGTCGTTACTTTCATTTTTAGTATCAGTATTATTGGTGGCTTTATTGTGATTATTTTCACTCTCATTAGGGCTTGTAGTGCGAGCACTATTAAGACTAGTGTTACTGGTATCACTAGTTCTCCCGCTACACATATGTATATCTATACGATACTACTATTACTATTGTTGTTGTTTGTTGATATTGTTAGCATTACCGTTGCCATCATTATTGTCATTGCTATCACTATCACCATGATTTATATGGTTATTAAGAGTAAGATTGCTAATTTTCTGTTATTTTCTTCGACTACTACTACTACTACTACTACCACCACCACCATGATCATGTTATTATCAGTACTATTACTACTGAACCCAGACCCTTGACCGCCACACTCCTCAGGATCCAGCACAAGATTTCCACCTTCGGGACCGTGGACCTTTGGTCTGGTTTTAGAGTTTAGGGCTGTTCAGAGCTCATTTCCTTGGTGGTAGGTCTGTGCCAAAGAAGGAGCGATCATGAATGATTGAAGGCAAGGTGTGACTGCATCAGCTTCTCAAAACCCTTCCCAAGCTAGTGTATGTAAATCCTGGAGCATCAAGCCCTTGCAGTCTGAACGGTCCTCCCGTGTGATTTCAGGTCTGGCTTTTCTTTCCTTCGCTCGTTGCTGGCTTTGCCCCGCTCTTTGGCATCTGGTGGCAGGCTGCATGGGGACGCAGGAAGGGGTTGGAGGATGCGGGGCAGTTCGGTTTGTCACGTGTTCTATCGCTGCAGCATCCCGAAAGACCACCGCCCGGAAGGCCAAAAAGTGTCAGAAGGGTTCTCTGCGCGACGACGCCAAGCGCGAAGTGTGCGCAGCCTCCAACAGCAACGGCCACCCGGACCTTTGTTAGCACGCTTTATAGGGTTTCGGGTCTAGGACTTTCCGTGTGCTGAAGTTGCAGGCGCCCCAAGAATTATGCTGTTTCTCCGGTTTCTGCCGGTCGAATGCAACGAGATCAACGTGCAACGCTCGGGGTATAGATGCATCTGCTGTTGCAGCGTTTTGATTAGGCAGAAGCTCGTGCAAAATAGCCCCTTGGTAAGTAGCAGGGCTTTCAGGTTTTGGAAGATCACGCTAAACCGTAAACCCTACAACAATCCTAAACGCCTTGGAATTGCGTTGCAGCTTCTTCGGTTGACCTGAAAAGCTCCCGACTCCTCCACAGTTCCATCGCCAAGGTACTGCGACCTTGCTTGTGGGAGCCTCGACAGCATTTGGTGGCTGGTTCCAAAGGCCTCAACCCACTACAAAAAAGCATAGAGCTGGTACTTGTATTTCGGCTATGGCTGTCACGATTTATTATGGTTGTTATGATTACTATTACTATTGCTACTCTTATTACTGTTACTATCATTATTATGATTACTGTTTTCTTGGCCGGAGCGATGCTGTCCGCACATCAAGCAGTTTGTGTTGATTACTTCATCTGCTTACAATGACTGTTGAGGGGTGATCAGACAATCCAAGAGCTCACAATACTCGTAGTAGGGCTTAAAGCTTAACATCCGTATAGCACCCTTCATCCAAACCCTCAAAGAGGTCTGAATTCGTTAGTTTATGGTGGACCCTATAGATCCCAAAGATTCAAGAATTCAAGAACCCACAACAAGCCTATCTCCACTACACTCGGAAAAAGAAATGTTGCCGAGGAATGCTGTGTATCCTGATGGTGCCGGTTGTGAAGATGGTCACTGGGCTTCTGGCCGGCATTATAGATGGGGGATGTTGGTTGAGCTTGTAACAGTGCTGCGTCCTTTTTGTTCCCTAGTTGGCCAGATTGACTTTAGGGGGTTTAGGGTTTGGGGTTTGGGGTTTAGGGTTTAGGGATAAGGGTTTAGGGTTTGCGGTTTAGGGCTTAGGCTGTGACGGGCAGCTTGGAGGCACTTCAGAGAGACCTCGTTCAAAAAAGGGTTTAGGGTTGAAGGTTTCGGATTTGGTACACGACCAATCGTTAGCATTCTCACTCCCATGGCGGCTCTTCAGACCGTGGGTGCCTGGGAAAAGCCCCTAACCCGAAACCCACATCCTTTGTACAGATACTGATGCTACCTTCCAAAATTCATGTTTCAGTGCTCTGTCTGTGTCTTGTGCTCCAGGAATCCGGAGGATAGTAGAACGCCCATGTTGCAAGACAGGCTGCCTCCCTATCTTGGCATGATGATGGCTTTGGGTGTCTTCTGGCTGGTCGCTGAAATCTGCGAGTTGGGTGCGGCTCCTCGGTGTGAACTCTTTCAGAGTTTCCCCACCCAAAAAAAGCCTTCAACCTCCTCAACCCCCCCCCACCCCGCTCTCCCCTCCCACAACAAAGGCCCCACACCCCAAACCCACCCAACAACAAACCAACCTGAACCCCAAGACCCAACGCCGCCCAAACAAGAGCATCCTTGACCAGAAACCCTAACCAAGCAACAACAAAACGAGTAACATAGACCCTAAAAGCTCCATGCACCAACAGCCAACCTAGACCCTCAACCCTAATCATCCAACGGTGGGAAAAATCATCCAACAAGCAGAACAACCTATAGATCCTAAGCCCCTAACCGTCCTAAAAGGAAGATGTGACTAGACCCTGGACTGGATCCAGGTATGTAGAGACTGAACTGTATTCCTTGGTCGTGTCATCTACCACCGGAGGGTGTTGAACGGTTGTACAAATGTTGTTGGTACTGGGTTGTATCAGGATATCATGGGGTGTTAAGCAGATGTACAAATACAAGGTCTCCATTTCGTGTGTTTGGCAGTGTGTGTTGAAGCTTGTTGGTATTGTTTCTATGGCCATAGAGGTCTACCGGATATTACAGGTTTTCAAGGTTTTTCACGGGCTTTTTCGATTCTTTGCAAGATGGTATTTAGAGTGTCCCTAAGCCCTAAAGCCCCCCTCTGTACCCTTACATACTGCAGGGTTTACGTAGGTTTCTTGGGGAACCAGCGGTATATGGCCTGCGGCTACGAATATTCCCTGAGACCCTTGTACAAAGAGAGGGCTTATGCCCCTAAGTGCTAGACCTAGTATAGGGGCCTTAATAATTAGAATAGGGTTTTGGTGCCATTATACTATACTTGTAATAAGGAGCCCCCAAAAAATAGTACTGTATGGGAAAGTATTAAGGCCCCTGCATTAGCCTAGTTCGTCAGGCCCCTTTGTTAACTCAGCTGTCGGATCGAAGTGCAAGAACCTCCCTCGGCAAGGAGAACGCCAATTTAATATGGGAGCCGGAATAATTACCTATATTATGTTGGGTGTATTCCTAATTATGATCATAGTATAAGGGGGGCCCAAAGCCCTATTCTGATTATTAAGGCCCCTACATTACCTCGGCGAGTGTTGTTGGGCATGAAATGACGTCCTGACAGCCTTACAGGCAGTGGGACCCTATACTCCCTAAGGAAAAGTAGTGAAGATCCCAGAGTCCTACGTGCCTCTCCCTCAAGGGCCGCCATGTTGGAATCCGTATGTTGGATCCTGGCGGGGAGGGAGGGGTGTATCCCTAAACCCTAAACCCTAAAACCTAAACCCTATTCAGCAGGGTTCGACTCTTATGGATTTCGATGCATGAGTTTGCCGCAAGAGTCGGCGCCCCTGAACCCTAAGCCCTAACCAGGATTCCCCCAGCAGCCCCGGTCCAGGTTACGGACGGCGATGAGGACTGACTTCGATGGTATCATCTCTAGGGACTCCAGGGTGTAAAGAGTTAAAGTCTGGGGGAACAGTTAGTGCAGTCTCCTGGGGCGGTTCTCTACATCAGGTTTACTTCTGGGGTCTTAGCGGGGGTTGAAAGCCTGTTTTTGTCGAAAAAGGGTGGGTCAAACAAGAAAACTTATATAAATATGCCCCTGCCAGCTGGCCTTCGACTTCGAGCCGATCAAAGAAAACCCTGCTCCCTTTGGCCCGTTGGGGAAGGGATTCGGGTTTAGGGTTTGAGGTTTGAGCTTCGATTTGATGGGAACCCCACATGCGACTTGATTGAAAGAGTTTTTGTTCGCCGGGTTCCCGTGAGAGCATTTTCGAATCGAAGGAGGCAGGGACGGCGCACACACTGCGAGGCGTCCCTGCTGCTCTGCACAAGGCCACGCGATCAGAGTTTAGGGTTTAGGGTTTCAGAATGGGCACAATATCCAAGCCCATGCTGACAAAGGGCTTTGGGCTTACTGTCCAGGGAGGGCAGAGGCGTTGGAGAGGCACATTGGCACATAATTTTACGTTACGGAGTTCAGAGATTTCGATCTGCAAGGCCTGCGTTGGTTTGCCCAGGCCTTTCGGTGAGTTGATCTTTTGTAGGTTTGGGACGCTGCATAGCACGGTCACTTGGCAAAGGAGCGCTGACCATGGTACCCTAAGCCCTAAAACCCTAAA